CAAAATGGCATTGGATATGCTGTCAATACCTGCGATGAGCGATGAGCCTGAACGCTTGTTCAGCCGATTAGGTCATATGGTGACTAAGCACCGCAACCACCTGAAGCCTCAAACGATCCAAGCGACTCAATGCTTGCAATCATGGGCTAAGGCTAAGATTATAGATTTAAAGTAATAGCAATCCGAGCACTTCACCATCATAAATATTTTCTATTTTAAGTCATATGTGGCATAATCAACAGCCTCAGTAACGCCATAAAGGGCCTCAGGTGGATCAATCCGGATAATCCTAGTGGATTATCCAGATCCGCCAAGAGACCCACTTGGGAGTCGGATCGCTGATCCGATCCATCCAATCAGCACACTGATTTGACATAACAGCATGAGCACTGCTGAGGCCGATAAAGCCAGTGATAGCAAAGAATGAGAGTTTTTCAGAGATCATAGTCGCAGTTACTATTTCAGAAATGTTGCCTTTTTTTACCTTCCTATACGAAGATGTTGGGACGCAGGAGTGAGGCAACTCGATATTGCAAGCAGAAAGGAAAGAATGGTATGCAAATGAGCCAAGGATTGTGAACAGGTCCAGCCTTGAAAAATGCGAAGGAGAAAAAAGTACTCGATGAACTGAATGATCACGTCTAAACTGCGGAGTGGAATGATGAAAAAGACATAACGAGAGGAATGCCAAGCTTTATACTTGGCAGAGGGCAGCAGAGAAACAGAAACTATCTTCATCGCCAATTTTAACCCTTACGAGGGTTGGAACTCAGCTGTGGAGACCAGAAAAATCGACACGCGAATGCAAAATAAAGGATGACCTTCTGTGTGGGAGGAGCGACAAGGGGAGTCCACAAGATGCGTGCCCACAGAGCTCTACATGCCAATTAAAGCATGGCGCTAAGCAGCTCCCTCACACGCACCGAGTGGAGGAGCGCGTAGGCCTCGTAAGCTTCCCCTAAAACTCAGTTTCAGCAGCGAGTCGCTTATATGCACGAGCCGCTGGGGCATATGATCAATAGCCGTCCAAAAGAGTGAATTAATAGGGCCTGAAGTGACGTGCTATATCTTGCTTGAGTCAAAAGTAGCGCGTGAAACCATTTGACGCAACGCTTTATAGGGATTTCAAATACCTGAGAAGGAAAAAAAAAACCCGATGATTTAGGCGGCCTTGTAAGATTCATTTGTTTGGGTTGATCTTAATTATCAAGTTTCTTTATCGTTTCATCTGAAAGACGTTTCAAAACAAAAGGTGAAACGAGAGGAGCCTCATCCCACAGAGCCAATCAGAGCCATGAGCTGATCATGAAGATAT